TTAACCCCCCCCCCCTTTCCCCCTTGTAAATTAAAAATTTACAACATGATACCAATTCGTCTTTGGTCTCTTGAAGATGTAATCCTCAGTCGATATCTTGATTTTTTTTTTTAATAAAAGAGTAATGAGGATTCTATCATACATATGTACCTTCTAATAGATAAGAAGATAATTATTATTTCAAACATCATTGTATATGGAGAAAGGAGCATCAGAATAATTCTAAAAATGGTATACATGTACACGTATTGTAGAGGTTGATGCGTAACTTTGAACAATTGGAAAACTTAAATTTTATTTGAATATACTGTTGTAATTTTATTTTTAAACATGAAAATTTTGACACGTCTCTTATTACGTATCTCATATGGCTAGTTTAGATTCGGTTCTGTTCAGTTAATAATAATTTATTGCGACGGGATAACCTTCTGCAAGACTTACCTGTAATGTTATAAATATGGAGTTTAAATGAAGAACCAATAAACCAAACCATGTACATTTATATTTAGTTTTTAAATACTTGTACGTTTAAAATAGCCGCTTTTCTTTGCTTCGTCGTGCATACCAAGAATGATTGACTACAGGTATGTGCACTTTTTTTACCTACTTCTAAACATTCATTTAAGCACATCTATTTTTCATGTTTATCTGTTGTTATATTATATCATTGTACTTTCATTGTTAAAAAATCCTGATGTATTAAATGTATTTCGCTAGTTATTTATCACTGATAAATGTAAACACTTTAATTGAAACCGGAAGTATATTACAGAATTCATTTCACAATGCGCATTTTCTTTTACCAATATCATGAATATTCATTACAGAACGGAGTCATACATGGCTCGTAGAGAATTTGTCCTCCTACTGGGCCTCATTATCTCGACAGAAGTTGTATTTTGTGGAATTGCTTCGACATGGGACTACTGTCACTGCAGGTGGGATGATTGGGCGGCCTGGTCGGACTGTTCGAGGACCTGTGGTGGTGGCCGGCGGTACAGGACAAGGAAAGTCTGGATAAGGACTGACATATGCACACGTGAATTTACCAACTGTGCCAGTAATGATATGGGTTCTGAATTTGGAGATTGTAACGAAATTTGTTACAATGGAGGGACCTTTATGTCTTATGGAAGTTGCTCGTGTGTGACAGGCTGGCATGGAAGCTGCTGCTTACAGGGTATTTTTTAGCTAATCTCAAATATTTTCTGAATTTATCAGTTTGTCTGTTTATCTAATTATTCATAGTAGGATTCATTTACCTACCTGATTCTGACTGAAATAGATATCTACAAATATTTACATTACATATGTTTTTGCATATAAAGTGAATGGAAATCTATTGCATTCAAAACGCCATAACACAGACAGGGTGCCAAGATGTTACAGCATGCGCTTTAGTTTGACGTCATAATCGTTGAACGCCGAGGAATTACAACGTCACAAGCGAAAATCGAAAAATCAGGCTCAAATTTTAAATAAAAAACACATTTGCATCTAAGGTAGAAAGTTCAAAAATGAAAATATAAACAATGAATCAAGATATCGTCTCATAACTGCAACGGTGAGTGCAAACGAGTATTCATAACGCGCTAACGCGCGTTTCTCAATTTGTACACATCGTTGCAGTTATGAGACTTTATCTTTCAAAAAATAATGATTCATTGGTTAATATCAATTCTCTATAAAAATCAAAATTTTAAATAGGGTCGTGGACATGACATATCTCCGATTTAGCTGAAATTCACACCATTTACTATAATTGGTATGTCTTTAATAAATTTGATGTTAAAGTCTAACTTTTCAATTTGGTTGCCATGGTAACAGGGATGTTATATTTAGAACCCTCTGATTAAGCAAATTTTGCTCTGTTTTAAATTAAATTTGTGCACATTCAATTAATTAGTAAAAATTCACATGAAAATTATATTATGTGAGCTCATATTACTTAAATCTGAGAAATTAATTTCATTCAAAGATATTTGAATGAAGATTAAGCGAATTTTCATTGCAGCATTAAGGCTGTTAGCAAATTGGCAATTTGCCAAATTTGTCTTTTTTAGTCATATTCAATGAAATTTTTCACCATTTTTACAACTGATATATTTGTAACCATGTATCATTAAATAAACTATATATTCTAAGGTTTTATGAGAATAAAAAAAATTAATGGGTAAATCAAAAAATTTCTAGAAATTATTGCATGAAAATTGGCAATTTGCCAAAATTGACTTTTTAGTCATATTCAATGAAATTTTTAACCATTTTGACAACTGATATATTTGTAACCATGTATTATTAAATAAACTATATATTCTAAGGTTTTGTGAGAATAAAAAAAATTAATGGGTAAATCAAAAACTTTCTAGAAATTATTGCATGAAAATTGGCAATTTGCCAAAATTGACTTTTTTAGTCATATTCAATGAAATTTTTCACCATTTTGACAACTGATATATTTGTAACCATGTATCATTAAATAAACTATATATTCTAAGGTTTTGTGAGAATAAAAAAAATTAATGGGTAAATCAAAAACTTTCTAGAAATTATTGCATGAAAAATTGTCAATTTGCCAAAATTGACTTTTTTAGTCATATTCAATGAAATTGTTCACCATTTTGACAACCGCTATATTTGTAACCATGTATCATTAGATAAACTTTATATTCTAATGTTTTGTGAGAATAAAAAAAATTAATAAATAAATGGGTAAATGTACAGCTTTCTAGAAATTATTGAATGACATGAATGCATCAATGACCCCCCCCCCCTTCCATTAATCACAAATAACAGAGAAGATCATCTAAGAACATGTTTTACCAAACTGAACAAATTGTTATGTAGTATGAATATATGCCAAGTATTTAAATTTCTTTTCAATAATTAAATAGAACTTCTGAAATTAACTTGGTGACAGGTAAATTAAAATGTTGCCATGGAAACAAATCAGGCTTCTAGTTATTTTACGCGAGTGAGTTAAGGCTAAATATGAATATTTCTATACAAATGAGCTGATAAAAATTCATAAGCTGTATATTTTATGCTCGTACAGAGAAAGTTCAATTTGATTTTCTTATACATACTAAGTACCCACAGTTTATTTATGCAAGTGCATATTATGACGTCATTGTTCTCTCCCATTCAAGGTTATAAATCATATCAACAAAATCATGTCGGTGCAAGGGCATGTCCTATCTAATTTAAAATAAACAATGTATAATATTAAGGGGAATATTATTAAAATTAATAAAATTGCTGCACAAATCCTATGGACTTTTTCAATCGATAAAAATTTTAGGAAACTTACACTGGACTGTGAATTTTTACCCTGTTTAAACTTAAAACTGCACAGATAGTAACTAAATAATTGCCGTGCCGACATTTGTGCAGCAATATCGTAAATCCTTGGAGTATCCTTCGTCCTTTTTATACCTTGCTTCTGTAAAACAAAGTAAGGTATGCCCTTGCGCCGAAGCGATTTTGTTGATGTTTCATATAAAATTGTGTAGTAGAGCTCTATGACGTCATAATATGACGTCATAATGTGTACTGGCTATTGCATGTCCTGGGTACCAAGAATGTATAAGAAAACAAATCTTATCATTTTCCGTGCAGTAGGTAGAGCAATTGTGGAATTTAATCAGATATTTTGCATAGAAACCTCCATATGTAGCCTTAACTCACTTGCGTAATCTAAATATGAAATAAAACAAGTGAGTTTCCAAAAATTCTTACAAATCTTTTAATGGCCTGTAATTGTGTCCAATCTTTTTGATTTATTCACTAAAATATGTTCAAATTCAAAACAATTGTTTTCAAAATGGTTAATTTTTTAAAATGTATGATCAAAGTAAAAAGGCAAACTCATATTTAATAAATGATATGAAAGTATTTTATGAAAATATGAAAGTAGGTCAGACAATATAATGTCAAAACAAGTTGGTAAGACCATCTTGATTATAATGTTTGTTTGCCCTCTCCCAACTCGGGGTAAAATTATTAAGTCAGCTTGGTAGGTAGGTTGTAAAATCTTTTCCCCAGAAAATTTCATAATATTTGTTGATGAGATAAGATGGATAAAAAAAACCATCCTGTCTTGCAATGTAAAAAAAAAGTTTTGAATTTTAGTTAGTCTGTTGGGGGAAGGCAGCCAAATTTGTTTAAATGGCCTTATATGCTAAATATTGTGGAATTAATTTTTATTACCACATTGCTTATCAGCATATTCAGATGATCAGTTACATGTATACTATGTTATTTTAATGGGTATAAATATTTTAAATTATTTGACCTTGACCTTAGACATTGACCGACTTAAAAAAAACTTTAACCTTAACCACAACTTTTGAAGTTGGACTAGATTTTCATATTTCACAGTTGTTTTACTTGTGGCAAGACCTTTCATGGGATACCTCGTGGGAATCTTGACATAAGCTGCAATGTATGGGGGAATCTGTTTCACAATTAATCTTGTTCTCAGTTTTGTTAAAATGTATTCATATATATTCTAATCATACATGACATACTGTGTGAAGCCTGCCAATATAAAACTCTAAATTTGTGAGCCCATGTGGGGGTATATAATAAATCAATATGGCACCTCTCCTGCAGAGTGGGGATATAAAAAGGGAAGAAACTGCTTCTTTGCACAATACTGCTTTTATAGAAAAAAATAAACAAGACATTAATTGGAATGTATGCTTCACTTAAACAGTGACATTTTTTGAAAATACAAGAAATCAATTTAGAATACACATATTCTCTAAGGAAAACAGATGCCCTGCTTAAAAAAAATTGCTAAAATTTGTTCCTTCATATTCTCTCATTTGATGTCAGCTTGGTTTCCTCGAATTCACATTTCTTTATGTCCTTTTGTGTAAGTTTGAAAAGTAGCTCAGCCTTGCAATATTAATTTGCTGTGGATTTTAGTATTAATGATCATTAGAAAACCCTCTCTATGTCCATCTTGCACCAGTGACAACTTTTACTGGATCCTCTTTTCTTTCTGTTACTTTTCCTACTTTGTATTTTTCATGTAAAATTTACTTCCAGTCCACTGTGATTTTTTTTTGGGGGGGGGGGGGCTGTCCTCTGCTCTGGTCATTTCACATGAAAATAAAAAAAAAATAACATTAATTTTTGGTCACTTTGGATAAAAATTCATTTAAAAATTGTTTCAAAAACTTAAAACTGGAATCTTAAAATTTTGCAATATATAAAACATATACATTTTCAACCTATAAACATTATTATCTCCCTTTATGCATTGTTGTGGCAATCATGTCTTAAGTCACCATGAATCCATGCAACTTAATACACAATACATGTACCTGTGTGGTCTCCTTGCTAGAGGATCTGTAATCCTGAGAATCTTCATTAGGAAAATCTTGCAAGGGCTGCAATGATCAATTTAAAATTATTTTTTAATTTGAAAGTTTGGGTTAAAATCCTGAACATCATATATATATTACATGTACCTAATATTTACATGTTATCCTGAAAATTTTCTGAATCAAGAGGAATGATTGATAAAGGAGTGGATTTAATGTTGTCATCAAGCATTTTTTTTTCAGTTTACATATAAAGCTTTTCTGCAGTTTGGACAAATCGCCAGAGATATAGAGACTAAGAGTAGAAATGAATTTGACAACAATTAATTTCTAAAGTGGAAAATGAAATGTATTTATATTATAAATTAATTGTAATAAAAACATACATGTTTTATGGATACTAACGTAATGTGGAATAATTTATTTTGTTCTTTAATGCGACTATTTTTAATTTGTACAATATGTCCTTGACATGTAAAGTACACAGCATCAGAATGATCTCATCTGTACAGATCAATATTGTCAAAATAAAACTATTCATATTTAAAATGTGTGCAAGATTGATATACCTGCAATATATAGCTGAAAAACAGTGATCAGTAAAATTAAAATTATGAGACAGAAAGCTGCATCTTGGAAAGTACAAATGGGGTTGCCATATTCTAACACCCTTGGATAGATTTCTTTACCTACTTTACAATACATCACCTTGCAGAGCAAATAACTTCATTGTATCAAGGTCCCAAAAATGATTTCACAATAGTATGACAAAGTATATGTACTTAGATCTAGAACACTATTAGCATCTGTAAATCTGTGTGTCTGCATGTACTTTCATAATTTTACACTTACACTTTTTTAATCAATTCTTTAAAATATTCTACAGTCCTGATATTGCTTAAAATTTCAAAAAATCTAACACACTATTCTGTTATCATTGTCAGAAGTCAAAGGTTTAATATTTCCGAGGTATGATTTCTACAAATCCTGTTTGTAAAAATAGATTGGACACAAGCATATTATCATTTGGAAAAATAAATTCATACAAACAATTTTCATCAAATATACTGAATTTTATAGAAAATAAAATACCAGTACCCAAAACGGGCACATATATTGCACAGTAGTATTTGATTCAATGTCATGTACATGTAATATGTGCAACTGTGCATCCAAGTTTTCATGGTTTTGTTTGTTTTTATTGTCTTATATTTCATTATACAGTCAGTTACCTAATCCGAGATTCCTCTGACTCTAACCCCTGCTTTTATATTGTGACTTGTGCGTACACATCGTCGGAAATCCACGGTCGGTCTCGTTTCTCTTACCTCGAAGAGAAGCGAGACCGACCGTGGGTTTCCGACGATGGTGCGCACAAGTCACAATATAAAAGCGGGGGTTAGAGTCAGAGGAATCTCGGATTATCAGTTAGTGCATGCAGGTACATGTGACACCTGAATAGAATTATGAATAAAAAAAATACTTACACATTGCAATCGGGATCGGTCGGGGACTACCACACCACTACATGTATCTCTCGATCTCTATTTCAAAGACGTCTTGAAGGGAACAGCTAACATCCTCTCGGCCTTCGCCCCATACCACCCTGATTTCCTCATATTTTCTTTTCTACGAGTAGCTATACGTGTGATACTCATCATGTCCAGATCAACCCTTTGGCTTTTCTTAAAGATTATCCCAACTTTGTCAACTGTTTTTCATCAAATTCTGAGTCTCTTGAGGTAGAATTTTCCTGAACAAGATGTTTCAAAACAAGAAGAAAAACTGCAGATTTCATTGTCTGCCATCTTGTTTACAATTTACACATTTTGTATTCTTCAATGCCGAAGAGCTCCAACAAGGGAAATAACTCGGATAGAGAAAAAGCGCATTTAGACCAACTTTATAGTGTAATAAAATGTTTATTTTTGATTTACCCATAAATGTTTTAAATGATATTTGCAAAATAACATTTCTTGAATATAAATCTCCCTACTAGAATTTTCACATCACTTGTCAAAGTCTTTAAATTCTAACTCTGACAAGGGAGGTAACGAAGACTAATTATTCACTTTTTTGGCATCAGAAAATTAGAAATTGTAAAATCTTTGTGACCTTGGCTATTTTTTACATAGATTTGATTGTCATGAAGGATATAAAAAAATATGAACATAAACAGCTTTGTCTAGTAAATATTTTTTTGATATTATTGATAAATAGCAATATCCACTATAATTTACACCTTCTAGTCCCGTTTCCATGGCAACCGGATAAAGTACCATGCTTTCTTTCATATAGTCAATCTTTTCATTCATTGAAGTTTCAGTAAGAAAAAAATTAGCTGAATCCAAGACATCGCGTGGCCACGTCATTTTGATATTTACGTAGAATTGATATTAAATAGTTGTTAGAATCGTCAACTTGACGATTTTAACAACAAATTAGAGATATATGTCCCGGTCAGGAACTGGAAATGAAATCAATTTCCTATTTCTGATGGAAGCAATTTTTTCTCAATACCCTCTAGTTCTTATAAAATTATTGCCTTCATTTTATTCACAGAAAACTGAAATTTGGGCGTTTTATTCACTGTGAAATGTCAATTTATGTTGAAGGCTAAAATACATTATTATCAAATTTAAGATTTATAAAAGACCACCTATCTGATAAAAAAAGATATGATCTAAGTTTAAATATTGCAGAGATAACTTGTGGAAATCCGGGGACAATAGCCAATGGTGTCGTTTCGGGATCGACATACACGTATGGTAATACTGTGACGTACTCCTGTAACACACACTTTAATCTGACCGGTGGATCAATCTCCAGAACATGTCAATCAAATTTTCTATGGAATGGAACGCAACCAAGATGTGCATGTGAGTTTTTGAGCATCAATCTGAAATTCATAATTTTATTTTTTTAAAAGTTGTCAAAAGGTATACAAAATAATATTTATTTTTAATTGAATAATAATGAAATACACAGACAAGTCTTTATTTGCGTTTATAATCTCTAAAAAATGATAATTTGATGTCAAAGTAAAAGAAGACAAATGAATTCGGAGGCCCATATATTGGCTTTGTTTAAGGGTTCATTTGATCGATAGCGTTCTTGGACGTCAAATGCATGTATATATATATATATATATTTTCATCTATTAGTCACCATTTGTATAGGGTGATTTTTATTTCTTTTTTAAATTTTTTTTTTGGTGTAAACATGGAAAATTTCCAGTCAAGGTAAAAAAATAAAATTAGCTTTAGAGCGATATTGGCATGTTCAATACAATAAGAGTATGGTTTAACTTTATTTATGCTGTGCTGACTAGCAGGTTTCAATATATGTTTATATGTTTGCTTTCTGTACGGAATTTGTTCGGTTCTTTCTCTGTACTTTTCCATTTCGCTAATGTTGAGATCAATTGTTCCTAACTGACCTAAGTCGACATTCTGCCCGGTAGCAAAACATATGAACCTAAAATGCCCCTGATACAGCATAATCAATTGTCTGAAGTTCGATTATTGTTTTCGATATTTTTCAATATTTCTAGAAGAAAAAATTACAACATAATTATACTGTAAAACCAGTTAAGTGCATTTTTTACTCTGTTTTCCATATTTCACTTTTATCATTTTTTTTAGTTGTGAATTCATGCGCCAGCAACCCCTGTCTGAATAATGGCACATGTGTAAATGGCTTAGACAGATATGACTGTCGCTGTACTTCAAGTTACAATGGCATCAACTGTGAAAATGGTAAGTTCATGCATTTGATATGTTTCCGTCAATCTATCTTGAATTCATGAATACTAGTTAAAGACCTAGGGATTAAAAGACTATTCTGTATGGAATTTTGATCAGATATTCAGCCACCAGTAATGAAGAATTGTCCAAATGACATGTTCCTATACTCCACAAAACCAACTATTTTTGCAAATTGGACGGCACCAACTTTTCACGACCCTGTTGGAACAATTATAGACATAACATCAAACTATCCACACGACAGCTGGGTGTTTCCATGGGGTGATTACATCGCGCAGTATGTTGCACTGAAACCTACCAATGGTCTTCGAACATTGTGTCAGTTCAATATTACAATTCGACGTAAGTTTATTTGATTTGTTTTATATTTAAGGGCGTGAACACATTTATTTTTTGTGTTATTTCTCTCAAGCTCTTTGATAAACGTCATAACCTAAACTGTTAAATCGTTAACTTCCCTTGCTTAAATATGTAGTAATTTGATTTCATCACCTGCATACGGAGTTAAGATATCTCAGTTGATTCAAAACACAAGAGCATGCTCTTACATGTATGTACAGTATCTAAAACGAGGTAATTTATAACAAACAAGTTTCTGAAACATGAATATCAGCAGTCTCTTTTAAAGTCATTTTTTAAGTTCTTTGAGAGATGAAATGACCGTTTCAGTAAATATAATTATCATTGAGTTAAATGCTGACTGATGTTTTACATACTATTATTGACCAATACCTATACAATGAATTGACGACGGAATTTCCCTTTATTTCCTGAAAATTAAAAGGTGCACACGGCGCGTTTTGACCGGTCAGCAGGGGATGCTAAGTCCTTTATAGGACCTGATTCCACCTCTGAATTTTTGAGGTCCGTGTTTGCTCTGCACCTATTTGTATAGTTTTAAGAAAATTCGAGCTTGAATTCTGTTCTTTATCTCCATATCTTTAACAAAACGAATTTCTGTTTCATTTTTTTTTAAATTGTACAGCTCATCCATGCCCAGAGCTAAACGTACCAGTAAATGGTGCTCGTGTATGTAATGGATGGAAGACCGACTATGGTAAATTCTGTTTAGTATACTGTGGCGGGAACTACAGCCTGAGCTTACAGTTTGATCACAGTCAGTGGTACGTGTGTGGATCCAGTGGGAATTGGATTGCTAATGGACCCTTACCAAACTGCACAGGTAAATGCTTTTCAGACGATCTTATTTATATAACTGAGATAATTGCTATTCCTTGTAGCATTACACAGTTACATGTAACCAAAACGCTAATGTTTTAAACCAAGTTGCTGATTCATTTCTTCATTCATAAAGGAAACCTTTTCCCAACCCTGTTGCAACCACTATTGAAATAACGACCACTATTGAAATAATTATTTCAATAGTGGGCGTATTTCAATAGTGGTTATCACCTATGTTTTTTATTAAAATGCACTCTCAACCACTATTGATATAGTTATTTCAATAGTGGTCGTTATTTCAATAGTGGTTGCAACACACCCCTCTAAAAATGGAATTAAAGCCTCAATTTCTTTAACATCCACATTGTATGTAACCAAAGCCCGTTGCAAGATAATTTTATCAGAGCATAAGAGTGATTACACAATATTTACAAAGGTGGATGTACTCTGGGTTTTTCTCTTTTAACTAACTGCAAAAAACCCTGCAAACAAGATGAATCTAAAATTGGAAACAGAGATCTTTATGTTAAACGTCGAAACAGTCGACATAATCGGGACACTTCCAAACAAACAGTTTAGGTTCTGTTTGTAATAATCTTTATTTTATACGAGGGTTGTCCCGTAAAATCGTGGACAACACGTTTTTCTCGGAAAATAATGGGCACAATACGCTTAAATATTCAGGAAATGTTTATTTACCATATTCAAGTGTATCTTAATTGTTTTGATAAAATCTAGACAAAAATAAAGATTTTATCATGCTCGGATGTGCACGAGGTATTGTTCTACGGCGCACGGTAAACAAACCAAGGTTTTATTAAAGAATACACGAGTTTGAATTCAAAATAAAAGTTTTAAATAAAAAAGATTTGGATTAAAATTATCCTAATTTCATCCACAATCAATTTTGTAGTCTTTGTAAAAATTTTAAGGCATTTGCTTAATTTTTGGCAGTTTCTCGAGCATTGGAAATGGGAAAGTGGTAAACACAACACACGAAAAATGGCGACGTTTTATAACGTTACGGCGCACCGGAGAACAGTTCAGTTTTATTTCGATGTTGTAATGACACCTTTAGAGACTTGAAATGACCATAGTAGATAAAAGATTATGAAAATATCACCATATCTTATGTATACAAATGAAATAGGAGTTTTCTTAGCGAAATTTTTTTTGATCGAGTCCCTGAGAAGTACAAAACATATGGACAAACTCCTAATGTAATAGCAAAAGACGCAGTTACAGTAGACCGCCGATATGAGATTTTCTATTAGTTGAATGATGGTGAGAATATTGTCCGTAACTTACTAATAAATCTTTAGAAGATCGCATGAGGGTGCCAATTGGTTCTTCGGCTGTTTATGGAGACTAAAGAATGTGTATCAATGAAATTCCTAAATCTAAGTCGGACTCATCCAACTTCATTTTCAGGAAAGATGAAACGTGACGCTGTTTTATACACTTTGACGTTATAATCCATGCGCCGTAAGGTGATACAAAACATGGCATAAAATCTCATAATTTGTTTATTTATGCATATATTTATCTGAAATTTGCTGTGTATATTACTAAAATATGTACTAAATAATAGTGAAAATTTCAGAACGCAGTGATGTTTATTTTTCACACTCGACAACTTGTCCACGATTTTACGGGACAACCCTCATAGATAAGACGCAATAATATCGTTCAATTGAGGAATTTCCAATCATATCATGCAACACTGAAAATCGTGGCTTCAGTCTGCATATAGTTTTAAATCTTTATCATTTTTTAATTTGATTGACAGAATTCTGAGACTGATCCACCGGTCACCTAATTTAACGTGTGCATTCTTATTTCATAAAATGTATGTAGAACCCAATGCAAATCCATTACATCTAGTCCCGTAGATTATACAAGCTGTATACATCTCTGCTATGTTTCTATTCATATCTGTGTCCAAGGATTGGCCCCATAAAA